TCTCTCTCTCTCTCTCTCTCTCTCTCTCTCTCTCTCTCTCTCTCTCTCTCTCTCTCTCTCTCTCTCTCTCTCTCTCTCTCTCTCTCTCTCTCTCTCTCTCTCTCTCTCTCTCTCTCTCTCTCTCTCTCTCTTTCTCTCTCTCTCTCTCTCTCTCTCTCTCTCTACGTGTGTGTGTGTGCGTGCGTATGTGTGTGCGTGTGTGTCTCTATCCCTTATTCTCGTTCGTGTTTTCTTCCGTATGGCGCCCATCTCGTGATGCTCTATGTCGCCTGTTAGCTTGCATAAAGGCATGAGTGATTACAATTTCTGTTGATTATTTGACGCCAATATTCTATTATGATCATAACACATTACTTATAGAAATCCTGGAACTATGGACTTGTTATGTTGTATGAATGCGATCGTTTATTACTTTTATGCTCTGGTTTTCATTATCATCATTCCATGGACGCCCTGTTTGCAATTTGTCTCATATGTAATGTCAAGGATGAGAATTCCCTATATAAAAGCCGTTGTAATAACGAACACAGCACCACCGCTATATAATTATGTTTTGCGTAAATTATTTACGGTTTTCCACAACACGCCTATTTTATCACTGATTTGCGGGAGGGCGAATGCGAAGGTAATGCATAGTACATGGCTGTCTAATTTCTCATGAGAAGCATGCCCCCAGGGAAGCTGCGATATATTATGTTCTTGCTGTGTCCGTATAATCTACAAGCACATATACAGCGCCTAATTACACGGCGATATTGCATTGCATTGCGACGATGGGTTGGCAATACACGTCGGTATTAATAAACAATGACGACGACGCGCGCATACAGCAATACGAACCGTGTGATTGGTACCTACGAATGCGATGTCGAAAGATTACTAGTGCTATTCGTATGTCGGACGGACGCGGGGTCGCTAAGCCGATCAGTGAAATAATGAACCACGCGCAAGTTTCTGTCAACCATCAACAACTGTAACACTTCAACTGTCATGCGAACTCGTTCGCACATACTATCGCTCCATCAGGATGAACGGTCTATCGCACGGAAAGATTTCGCTCGTGGTTACCTAACTTTAATCATTTAAGATTGGTATATATTGTAAAGAACGAGAGATATTTTCATATCGTGTCTGCTCTGTTAGAATGCGCACAAGCGGGCTCGCCACGGCCTCCATAATTGGTTTTCTCTCGACATAACCAAATCACCTGCGTCTCAATTTGTCGTTATATAGTTGTTACTAGACATGATTTTATTTATTCAGGGAGCAGAGTAGAAATATAAAGGAAGTTTAATCGTGAAAATGTGGTCATAAATGCACGTAATTTCACGATCCGGACATAGATGGGTATTAGATATCATTTAGATCGCATAGATAGGCGTTATCTCTACGTTAAAGCCCGTCTGAGTTAGGTTCGTCATATTTCTTACATTTTCTGACCCTCATATATCGTATAATCTCCCAATTTGTGTAATAAAATAATCACATTTTCAGCATTACACTTCCTTTGAATGACTTAATGGCGGCTATAGCGGCTATGGCGGCTATAGCGGCTATAGCGTTACGGCGGCTTAAGGAAAGCTATTTTCAAAATTTGCCGTTGAAATGCACAAAATGGCTGGCGTTGCAAGTAAACACACGTAATAGACTGATATCTTTAAATATTCGTTCCCTATTGGCTGGCACCATAACAATGTTATACGTGCGATGGACATAGACGGACTTTAAAGTTAAATTACTTTCGCAAGAAACGCTAGTCACTGTTTTTTTCCGCGTATATATCGATATTGTTCATCGTGTGCGTGATCTATATAAGATGTATTACGAGACAAAAATTAACGAAATTAGTATAAATATATAAATGCTATAGACGCCGGTTTGGATATTTCACTAGCCGCTGGAAGGTTTGGATATTTCACTAGCCGCTGGAAGGTTTGGATATTTTGGGCTTGGTATAGGTTGTCAGATTTGTTTGAGCAATATAATTACAAATTAGGATATTTAAAGACGTGTATTTAGGTTTAAATGAGTTTATATTTCATGCGATGTAACTGCGAACACAGGAATGGTAACACGCTATTGTGAGAGTTATCAATAAGGTGGGGTTGGAGGACTATCCCGCTAAGCAGATGGTTTATATACACACACCGTGTCTGAGACACATTGATGATTGATGTTTCATGACACAGTATGTGTACGAGTATTAATAAATTAAACTATATATAGAACTTATCTATTCATATTGTTGTATCATAACCATCAAAATCCGACCTAACCCTAACATAGCGTTGCGATTCGGGAGTGGGCTCGCTGCTACGAAATCATTGGTCGCCTGATATTAAAAGCCGTTTCGTGCATATATTTTATCATATATATGGAGATTATATCGTTCACCGCATGCACATAACTAACGCGTGTGAAGATGGAGGTGGCCTCATCTAACTAGTAACTAGTCTCCGTTAACGAGCATCTTCGTGTGGAGTAGCGAGTGATTTGAAGTGGGCATGTATACGCGCTCGCCCATGCACCGACTCATTCAAACACGCCCACGCACGAGCTGTAATATGAGCGCAGTAACTAAAATTTCTTGTTATATTCCTCTTATGCTTTAATTATTTATACATGCTTAATTATAATGAACTAGTTATACCGTTAGTAAACGTACAGGCATGCTCTGAAATATGATCTGATTCACTTCTTTTTTATCCTCTTATAACTGGCACCTGTATTTTAATTGAAAAACTATATTTGATATCCATTTACAGAGCCTCCACTCTCTTACCCCCCCCCCCTGCTCGCGAGCACTCACGCGACAGCAATGTTTCTAAAGCCTTCATCGACAAAATTACAATAGGCTCGTTTACTTAACGTGAAAGATGAAGAAGGGCTTAGTTAAGAACAAAGGGCGCCCTCTCCGATTAATTCAGCCGAGGAGTCAGACGACAAGGCAGCAGCTGTCTATTACACTCTTCTTTTATTCGCCAAGTGAAGGAAAGAGCGAGAGAGACAGAGAGAACGAGCGAGAGAGACAGAGAGAACGAGCGAGAGAGACAGAGAGAACGAGCGAGAGAGACAGAGAGAACGAGCGAGAGAGACAGAGAGACAGAGGGAAAGAGCGAGAGAGCGAAAGAGACAGAGAGAAAGAGCGAGAGAGCGAGAGAGACAGAGAGAAAGAGCAAGAGAGACAGAGAGAAAGAGAGACGGACAGACAGACAGACACACAAACACACACACACACACACACACACACACACACACACACACACACACACACACACACACACGACGCGACGCGACGCGCGCGCGCGCACACAGAGAGAGAGAGGGAGAGAGAGAGAGAGAGAGAGGAGGAGAAGGGAGAGGAGAGGGAGAGAGAAGAGAGAGATGGCCAGGAAAGAAAAGATCCGAGAGAGAGAGAGAGAAAGAGAGAGAGAGAGAGAGAGAGAGAGAGAGAGAGAGAGAGAGAGAGAGAAGGGAAGAATAAGAAATTAGAGAGTGGGGAGCAACGCGAGTGCTTAAATGCGTGCCTCTGTATGCTATAGCCGCACAAACACATACGATGGTTGTCTAAACATCTATCGCTGCTCGCATCGAGGAAACAGCATCACAGCCGAGGATTTTAAGCGAACATAACAAACATTATAGACCTTCGTAAACGTAATTAGCAGGCGATATAATGACAGGTGACAGCCCTGCTATTATATTTCACTCTCCGGCAACGATAATAAACAGACGAAAGCATGAAACATACTAATCTACTGAACCCGGACAGCGCAGAAAAGTGTGGGATTGATGATGAATGAATATATATCCGCTACGTAATCACATTAGCTGAGCGCCTAACGTGAAAATACGTGCGTAACGCTCTGATGGGTGATTTGCTCGTGCACGGCGTGGCCATAACTGCCACATATAACAGCATTAACATTAGTAACAGCGATCAACAACAGCCGTTGCAGCAATGTATAGTCTTCGTATGCTACAATGTGCTATTTAATGAGTGAATGTGCTATTCAATGTGTACATCTGATGTGTATCATCATCACACATCATGATTGTGATTCAACTGAGGAGGAGGTCTTCTAAACCAAGCAGTGACATGATATACCTAAAAAAAAGTCAACGTCAAATTCACGTCGAGAGAACATCATCCGTCGGAATTACTTACAGGACAGGCTGGCAGTACACTGGCTACTGATATACAGCAAGTCGAAAGTCGATTAACGGCCTAGGGGGTCCTGCAGGAGATTTTGTAATCGTACATATCTACTGTGACATCTTTGACAGCCGCAAGGAAGTAAAGTAATCACTCGATCCACGTCACACTATAGAATGTCGAGTTGTAATACGTAGTACAAATAATCGAGATCATGACAGGAACGTTGATGATATTGACCAAATTTGCCTTCC